GGGGGCCCCCCCCCTTTTTTTTTTAAAAAAAAAAAAGGGGGGGGGGGCCCCCCCCCCCCGGGGGGGGGGAAAAAAAAAAAAAAAAAAAACCCCCCCCCCGTTTTCCCCCGGGCCCCCCCCCTTTTTTTTCCCCCCCCCCCCCCCCCCTTTTTTTTTTTTCCCCCCCCCCCCCCCCCCGCGCCCCCCCCCCCCCCCCCCCCCCCCCCCCCCCCCCCCCCAAAAAAAAAAGGGGGCCCTTTTTCCCCGGGGAAAAAAAAAAGGGGGGGGCCCCTTTTCCCCCCTTTTTTTCCCCATGGGGGAAAAAAAGGGGGAAAATTTTTTAAAAGCAAAGGCCCCCGGGGGAAAAAGAGGGGGAAAGGAAAGGAAGAAACCCGGGGGAAAAAGAGGGAAAAGAAAAAGGGGGAAAGAGGAAAGGGGAAAAGGAAGGGGGAAAACCCCCCCGGGGGGCCCAAAAAACAGAAAGGGGCCCCCCCCCAAAAGCCCCCCAAAAACCCCTTCCCCCCAAAAGGGGTTTTCCCCCGAGGGGCCCCGACGAGGAGAAAGGGAAACCGGGACCCCGAAGGGAACCGGGGAAAGGGGAAAGAAAGGGGGGGAAAAAGGGCGGAAGGAAGGAAAAAAGAGAGAAGAGGAGGGGGAGGGAAAAGGAGAAAAAAAGGGGGGGGTTTTACCCACCCCCAAAACCCCTTTGCTCCCTCCTCCCCCCCTCTCCTCCTCTCCTCTTCTCCTCCCCCCACCCCTGCCCACCCTCCTCCCCCAAAAATTTTTCCTCCCCTTTTCCCACCCCTCCTAACCCCCTCCGCTTTCCCCCTCCCTTTCCTCTCCTCCTCCCCCTCCTCCCTATCCTCTCCCCCTCCTCCCCTTTTCCTCTCCTCCCCCTGGTACCATTCCAAGCCATGGGGTTTCTTCCAACTCTCAAAATCCTTTGGATTATTCCTTGTGGGGTTTACCTCACAGAAACACCCCGGGTTGCCCAAACCTCCATTCCCTATTTTTACTTTTGACCAGAGGCCCTGGTGAAAAGTAGTGCACTATATAGTAAATAGGATGTGCCTGCAACTGTAGCAAGAGAGGAGGTGACAGATGGATATCTGTATTTATTCAGGATTGGTTCACAGTGGACACAGTGGAGAAGATGAACAAAGACAGACAGAAGTGGATATTTTTTGTTTGCTGATGCCCTTCATGCTAGCTGGCCCAATGGGGATAAGTGAGTGAGTGAGTGAGTGAGTGAGTGAGTGAGTGAGTGAGTGAGTGAGTGAGTGAGTGAGTGAGTGAGTGAGCGACTGAGTGAGTGAGTGAGTGAGTGAGTGAGTGAGTGAGTGAGTGAGTGAGTGAGTGAGTGAGTGAGTGAGTGAGCGACTGAGTGAGGTGTATTTACCAGCAGAAAATAGTCCCACTAGTTTACCTTGAAGGACACTCTGACATCTCTCAAATAAAAATAACAGCCAAGCTATTTGAATTTGGGTTGGCTGGTCACCACTGTTTTTCTTTCCCTCTCTTGGTGTCTTGGAAATAGCCTTTTTCTTGGAATAGGCAGCTGCATGTGTTCTCAGTGTTCTGTCTTTCTGTTTGCGTGTGTGTGTGTGTGTGTGTGTGTGTATTTGTGTGCGTGGGGGTGTATGTGTGTGTGTGTGTGTGCGTGTGCGTGGGGTGTGTGTGTGTGTGCGTGGGTGTGTGTGTGTGTATGTGTGTGCGTGGGTGTGTGTGTGTGTGTGTGTGAGTGTGTGTGTGTGCGTGCGTGCATGTGCTTGGGTGTGTGTGTGTGCGTGGGTGTGTGTGTGTGTGTGTGTGTGTGTATGTGTGTGCGTGTGCATGGGTGTGTGTGCTCGGTTTTCTGTGACTACAGTACGACCCAGCCCATCTGGTTCCACGCCATCGCCCCTGTGTTTACAAAGCATTCTGGGAAAGGAGCTGGAAGCCCTGCCTTGAGGTAGAAGTTTTTCTTAACTACATATCATTAGGAGAAGTAGCAAAACATATCTGACTTGGTTACACTCGTCTTAACAGACACTATTATTATTAATATTCCCAGAGAGCACAAATATACTGAGTGTACAAAACATTAAGAACACCTTCCTAATATTGAGTTGCACATCTACCTTTTGACCTCAGAACAGCCTCAATTCGTCGGGGTATGGACTCTACAAGTTGTCGAAAGCGTTCCACCGGGATGCTGGCCCATGTTGACTCCAATGCTTCCCACAGTTGTGTCAAGTTGACTGGATGTCCTTTGGGTGGTGGACCATTCTTGATACACACGGGAAACTGTTGAGCGTGAAAAACCCAGCAACATTGCAGTTCTTGACACAAATTGGGGCGCCTGGCACCTACTATCATACCACATTCAAAGGCACTTAAATCACCCTCTGCATGGCACACATACACCCTCTGCATGGCACACATACACAATCCATGTCTCAATTGCCTCAAGGCTTAAAAATCCTTCTTTAACCTGTCACCTCCCCTTCATCTATACTAATTTAAGTGGATTTAACAGGTGACCTCAATAAGGGATCATAGCTATCACCTGTATTCACCTGGTCAGTCTATGTCATGGAAAGAGCAGGTGTTCCTAATGTTTTGTACACTCAATGTATGTGCACAGCAAAAATACACTCTGACTCTGAAGAGTAGACACACAGCGGTCTATGTCTAACTCAATCTGTCAGTGTCACACAGGGGGAGAGAGAGAGATAGACAGGGAGAGAGAGACAAAGAGAGAGAAAGAGAGAGTGAGATAGAGAGAGAAAGAGAGAGTGAGATAGAGAGAGAGAAAGAGAGTGAGATAGAGAGAGACAAAGAGAGAGTGAGAGAGAGAGAGACAAAGAGAGAGTGAGAGAGAGAGAGACAAAGAGAGCAGGAGAGAGAGAGAGAGACAAAGAGAGAGTGAGAGAGAGAGAGACAAAGAGAGAGTGAGATAGAGAGACAAAGAGAGAGTGAGACCTCTTCAACCAACCACATAGCAGGGATCGAGGGAGATGGATGTTGCTATGGTTCTAAGCTGTATCGTACTATAAAGACAGACAGGGTTGTGTCAGAAAACTCGTTGTCTTAATACACTGAAGATGCATTGAGAACATTAGATCTGTTTTTCTTCATCTGCTGTGACCCATCCTAACAGACCCTATTAGACCCCTTTAACCAGTCACAAACCAGAGATCTGATAACCGTCTGGTCCAATACCTTGAGAAAGCGTTGAGAGCATTGGACTGCTCTGTTTCTCAAGCAGCATTCTCAAGCACACACACACAAACACACACACACGCACAGACACACACACACATACTTATGCACACACATTTTTCTGCACTAAGCCCCGTCAGTATTGCCTGCAGATGCCCCAGAAAAACACTCACTTGAACAAATAGGCCATTGTCATAATAATCTCCACCTCTCTAAATTGATGAAAATATGATTTGGTGCATTTGCAAAGAGGCTTTTTCCTTCCAAGCAAAAGCCAAGAAAGTACTTAGACCTTGGACCGACCAAGACTCTTTCACTATACCAAACCCCAAACCGTCAAGCTAGTTTCCCTCCCAACTAGCTTGACGTTAATGTGAACTATAATACAATGTAAAAATGCTTACTCGACCCGTACTGTGTTCAATTCAGCTGGAGATAAATAGGCAGAGAAAAGCAAGTTAAAGGCATTTATACCACAGCATTGTTGAATATGAATTTCTGATTGGCTAGAAGGGCATTCTAGAATGTTTTTAAAGGCATTTATACCACAGCATTGTTGAATGCTAATTTCTGATTGGCTAGAAGGGCATTCTATAATGTTTTTAAAGGCATTTATACCACAGCATTGTTGAATACTAATTTCTGATTGGCTAGAAGGGCATTCTAGAAAGTTGTTAAAGGAATTTAAAAGACAAATACATGAAGAACAGCTTCTCCTTGGAAATAGTTTAATACTACAGTGACGTTAGTCTCTCCTTGAAAACTACACAGTGGCTAAAACTATGATTTTACACAAACCAGGTAAAACAGCTGTCTTTAGAAAAACAGAGGTGTATCCTTCTGTGTACCCTGAAGCAGGCAGATTTAGGTAATGCTTTATTTTCCTATAAAAGTTGGTAGTCAGTTTGGGCTGAGCGGGTATTTGACAGATTTGAAGGGTTAACTAATGAGCTGTCTTAAACTGTTTGCTATGACAAAAAGACAAGACTGGTTTCCCAGCCAACTACACCTCTTTGTCCTTGCCACACACACGCACGCATGCACACACACACACACACACATTTGTGTCCTTGCACACACACATGTGCTTGCACAAACCCAAGGGCGGGCTCACACACACACACAAACACACAGTCAGTATAGCCAAATCCATTTTCCGTCACCACAGCAACTGCATACTTTTATGTCAACTGCAACTTAGTTACTATGGAGATATGTATACAAGGCAAACTCTGTGCAGTAGTAGTCAAGGCCCAAATGACAGAGTAACTTAAGGGCAGGCACCCACATACACACACACACACACACACACACACACACACACACACACACACAAGCACACTGTGCACACACACACACAGGCACAGCACACTTTGTCTAAAAAAAAGCACTGGTTCATGTTCTGGTCAAACATAGAATTAGTCACATGTCTGAACTGTTTCATAGAGAAACTAATTAAACTAAATGGGAATCTCCCTTGATCAAAAGCTAAAGCTTGTATACATATAAGCCATATACTTTCCCATGGGTACATTATATCTGATGTCGTTTGACATTAATGTTCTTACAACATTTAGTATTAATTGGGCATGGGAGTTATTTTCTTTATAAATAGCTAAACTGCTCCTGAAATAGGAGAATGATTAGTTAAATATTTAAAAGCCTTTAGAAGTGACCATATCAAGATTGAAATCAAACCAAAAGGCTGTTCCCTCCAGAAAATGTCTCACTGAATTTAATCTAAGAAGCAAAGATCATAAAGTATTGATAAAGGAATTCCTTGTACATTTGTAGACAAAATACTGGATATAATTGACTCAGATTGAAATGCTGTTCTCCTGAGAAACAAATTTGAAATACGTCCAAGCACCTTAAATGAACTCTACTCGAGCCCAAAAGAAAAAGGGAGCGAGAGAGAGAGAGGGGGGGATAAGGAGAGGGAGAGGGAGAGAGAGTGAAGAGAGAGAGAGCGCGCGAGAGAGACAGAGAGAGAGAGAGAAGAGAGAGAGAAATAGAGAAGAGCGAGAGAGAAGAGAGAGAGAGAAAGAGAGAGAGAAGAGAGAGAGAGAGAGAGAGAGAGAGAGCAAGAGACCGAGAAGAGAGAGAAGAGAGAGCGAGAGAGAAGAGAGAGAGAGAGAGCGAGAGAGAAGAGAGAGATAGAGAGAGCGAGAGAGCTAGAAGAGAGAGAAGAGAGAGAGAGGGAGAGAGAGAGAGAGAGAGATAATATACAAGGTCTGAGGTCATCTGCCTTTGGCCTAAAGAGCAGGAACTTCATCAAAGAAATTGGAAATACAGACATCGTCATCCTACAAGAAAAGAGAGATGGTAGTCCCATTCACCAAACTACCAGGTGTGAAACAGGGAAAACACTCAGGGGGTATGCTAATTTGTTATTGAGCAGACCTAACCCACTCTATTAAATTAGTAAAAACAGGAACATTTTACATCTGGCTAGAAATTAATAAGGAAATTATCTCAAAAGAGAAAATTGTCCTCATGTGTGCTAACTATATCCCCCCGACAGAATCCCCATACTTTAACGATGACAGCTTCTCCATCCTAGAGGGGAGATGTACTAGGGACATGTACTACTAGTCAGTGGCAGAACTGGACAAGAACCTGAAACCCTCAGCACACAGGCGGACAAACACCTACCTGGTGGTGACAGCATTCCCTCCCCCATATGCCCCCCTAGACACAACTATGACAACATAACCAACAAAAACGGGTCACAACTCCTGCAGCTCTGTCGGACGCTGGGTATGTACATAGTCAATGGTAGGCTTCGAGGGGACTCCTAGGGTAGGTACACATTTAGCTCATGTCTTGGCAGTAGTACTGTAGACTACTTTATCACTGACCTCAACCCAGAGTCTCTTAGAGCGTTCACAGTCAGTCCACTGACACCCCTATCAGATCACAACAAAATCACACTCTACTTGAACAGAGCTATGCTCAATCATGAGGCATCAAAGCCAAAGGAACTGAATAATATTAAGAAATGCTATAGCTGGAAGGAAAGTAGTGTGGAAATCTACCAAAAAACAATTAGGCAACAACAAATTCATTCACTTCTAGACAATTTCCTGGGCAAAATGTTTGACTGTCATAGTGAAGGTGTAAACTTGGCAGTAGAAAACCTAAACAGTATATTTGACCTCTCAGCTTCCCTATCAAATCTAAAAATGTCAAGTAGACAACCTAAGAAAATTAACAAGAATGACAAATGTTTTGATGAAGAATGCAAAAACCTAAGAAAGAAATTGAGAAACCTATCCAACCAAAAACACAGAGACCCAGAAAACCTAAGCCTACGCCTTCACTATGGTTAATCACTAAAACAATATAGAAATATACTACGGAAAAAGAAGGAACAGCACATCAGAAATCAGCTCAATGTAATTGAAGAATCCGTAGAATCTAACCACTTCTGGGAAAATTGGAAAACTCTAAACGAACAGCAACACAAAGAGTTATCTATCCAAAACGGAGATGTATGGATAAACCACTTCTCCAATCTTTTTCGCCTTATAACAAAGAACAAACACCAAAAACATATAAATGATCCAAAAAAAATCTTAGAATCAAGTATTAAAGACCACCAGAACCCACTGGATTCTTCAATTACATTGAATGAACTACAGGACAAAATACAAACCCTCCAACCCAAAAAGGCCTCTGGGGTTGATGATATCCTAAATGAAATGATAAAATATGCAGACCACAAATTCCAATTGGCTATACTTAAACTCTTTAACATCTTCCTCAGCTCTGGCATATTCCCCAATTTTTGGAACCAAGGACTGATCACCCCAATCATCAAAAGTGTAGACAAATTTGACCCCAATAACTACCGTGGGATATGCATCATCAGCAACCTTGGGAAAAACCTCATTAACAGCAGACTGGTACATTTCTCAGCGAAAACATTGTACTGAGTAAATGTCAAATTTGCTTTTTACCAAATTACCGTATGAAAGACCACGTATTCACCGTGCACACCCTAATTGACAAACAAACAAAACAAAACAAAGGCAAAGTCTTCTCATGCTTTGTTGATTTCAAAAAAGTTTTTGACTCAATTTGGCATGAGGGCCTGCTATACAAATTGATGGAAAGTGGTGTTCGGGGGAAAACATACAACAGTATAAAATCCATGTACACAAACAACAAGTGTGCGGTTAAAATTGGCAAAAAACACACATATTTCTTTCCACAGGGCCGGGGGGTGAGACAAGGATATAGCTTAAGCCCCACCCTCTTCAGCATATATATCAACGAATTTGCGAGGCACTAGAACAGTCTGCAGCACCCGGCCTCACCCTACTAGAATCTGAAGTCAAATGTTTACTGTTTGCTGATGATCTGGTGCTTCTGTCCCCAACCAAGAAGGGCCTACAGCAGCACCTAGATTTTTTGCACATATTCTGTCAGACCTGGGCCCTGACAGTAAATCTCAGTAAGACAAAAACTAATCGTGTTCCAAAAAAGGTCCAGTTGCCAGGACCACGAATACAAATTCCATTTAGACATCGTTGCCCTAGAGCACACAAAAAAACAGTACATACCTCAGACTAAACATCAGCGCCACAGGTAACTTCCACAAAGCTGTGAACGAGCTGAGAAACAAGGCAAGAAGGGCCTTCTATGCCATCAAAAGGAACATAAAACTCGACATACCAATTAGGATCTGGCTAAAAATACTTGAATCAGTTATAGAACCCATTGTCCTTTATGGTTGTGAGGTCTGGGGTCCGCTCACCAACCAAGAATTTACAAAATGGGACAAACACCAAATTGAGACTCTGCATGCAGAATTCTGCAAAAATATCCTCTGTGTACAACGTAAAACACCAAATAATGCATGCAGAGCAGAATTAGGCTGATACCCGCTAATTATCAAAATCCAGAAAAGAGCCTTTAAATTCTATAACCACCTAAAAGAAGCGATTCCCAAACCTTCCATAACAAAGCCATCACCTACAGAAAAATTTACCTGGAGAAGAGCCCCCTAAGCAAGCTGGTCCTGGGGCTCTGTTCTCAAACACAAACAGACCCCACAGAGCCCCAGGACAGCAACACAATTACACCCAACCAAATCATGAGAAAGCAAAAAGATAATTACTTGACACATTGGAAAGAATTGCCAAACAAACAGAGCAAACTATAATGATATTTGGCCCTAAACAGAGAGTACACAGTGGCAGAATACCTGACCACTGTGACTGACCCAAACTTAAGGAAATCTTTGACTATGTACCGACTCAGTAAGCATAGCCTTGCTATTGAGAAAGGCCGCCGAAGGCAGACCTGGCTCTCAAGAGAAGACAGGCTATGTGCACACTGCCCACAAAATGAGGTGGAAACTGAGCTGCACTTCCTAACTTCCTGCCAAATGTATGACCATATTAGAGACACATATTTCCCTCAGATTACACAGACCCACAAAGAATTTGAAAAAACAAATCCAATTTTGATAAACTCCCATATCTATTGGGTGAAATACCACAGTGTGCAATCACAGCAGCAAGATTTGTGACCTGGTTCCACAAGAAAATGGCAACCAGTGAAGATCAAACACCATTGTAAATACAACCTATATTTATGTTGATTTATTTTCCCTTTTGTACTTTAACTATTTGCACATCATTACAACACTGTATATAGACATAATATGACATTTGAAATGTCTTTATTCTTTTGGAGCTTGTGTGAGTGTAATATTTACTGTTCACTTTTTATTGTTTATTTCACTTTTGTTTATCCATTTCACTTGCTTTGGCAATGCAAACATATGTTTCCCATGCCAATAAAGCCCCTTGAATTGAATTGAATTGAGAGAAAGGGGGAAAGAGTGCATGTGTGTGTTGTGTGTCTGTTTGTGTGTCTCCTCCTCCTTACCTGACTCCTGTCCTTGTCCACCTTCTTGAAACACTTATTGAGCGACAGATTATGGCGCACCGAGTTCTTCCAGCCAGTAGGGGCGCTAGCGAAATACGGGAAATGCTCCAGGATCCAACCATAGATATCTTTCACCGGCAGCCTCTTGGACGGCGCATCCTCTATTGCCATGAAGATCAGGCAGCTGAAGGAATACGGGGGCTTCCTATTGGCTCCCGTGACCAAGTCGTAGGAAGAGGAGTCACATGGGTCGGTGGAGTTGGAGGAGGAGGAAGGGGAGTGGGGGGGTAGTGGTTGACCGTCAGTGTCCTGCAGTGGGGAGACGGAGCGGAGCCCCGAGTGGGAGAAGCTGTTGAGAAGGTTGGTGCTCTCGTGGAGCCAGGAGAGGCTGGTGAGCTCCTCATCCTCGGCCTTGGAGAAGGAGGCCGACAGGGACAGGGACAGGTCTGCTGCCTCCGCCTCCCTGTAGAAAGGACTCAGACCCCGGGTGGCTCCTAATCCTTTGTTGGGGCTCTGGGCCTTCTTACTGGGCGGCATGGTGGGTCCCATTCAGCCCTGGGCTCTCTCCTGGAGGGGGAATAGAGGAGGAGAGAGGAGGGGACAAGATCATATTTGGGTTACTATGAATAAAGTAACGTCTGCAACTCTGATATTTCTACAGTGGTTTTTGAGACACAGTTTCGATCCTACTGGGATCTCCAGGAATGGTTGCTGCAACAATCACACCAACGACTGAAGATAAATGAGAGTTAGAATGCATTTAGTTAACTGCAGATTAATGGATAGAACAGTAGCTACATTGACTGCATGGTAAATGTCCTCTGTTAGTTGGTGTCTTCTGTTGGTAGGTTGATCCCAAGATGGGAACATGCTGAACTCAGTCATAGGGTGAGTTATCAGCTCATGTTCATCACACACACGCACACACACACGCACACACACACTCACACACACACACACACAGAGACACAGACACACGGACGCACACGCAGACACACACACCGACTCACACACTACGATTGGATTAATCCCAGCAGCAGCTATGTAGTGGTCATCCCCTGATCTGTCTCTTCAGTCTGACTGATTGACGGACAGCTGTCAACATCCATTCCTCTTTGTGTTTTACACACAAACACACTGCCTGTTTTACACACAAACACACTGCCTGTTTTACTCCCTGCTCTAATCATTCTAAATATATATCTATGTCTCCTCCTTAACTGACAGTATCCCTGTGACTCAACAGCAGTTACCTGTCAGAGCCATGTTGTTGCACCAATATTGACATTGACTCTAATGAATTTAAATTGGCCCCAGCTCCTCATAGCTGAACGACAGATATTCCTACTCCTGAAAAGAAAGTGGATAAACAAAAGAAGAGAAGCGAGTTGTTAAGATATTAAGCGGTGTGACTCGCTCGTCAAGGTGTGGTTCAGAGAGATTCTAGGGAATGTTACTGGTGTGACATTGTTCCCAGTTGGACGTTGTCGAGGCGTCGGTCGTCAAGGGGAGCAGAAAATAACATTTTCTGGTTACGTTGCCATGACGGCAGGCAAGGCACCAGGCAGAGCCATGAAACATTATGTCTGACAGTAAAGTCATCTAATTTTACTGTTGCTATGACAACAAACTCCTTCCAGGTAGGGCCTGTGTTATGAGTGAGTGTGTGAGCCGTGGCGAGGCGTTGTGAGCTGTGTATCTAGGGTTCTCTTCAACACACTGAGCTCTAAACAAACTCTTCTACAACGTTTTACACAACTGACTGTTAAAGGACAAGTTCAGTCTTCATGTTGGTGAGGTGGTGGAGGGAGGTGGGTGAGGTGGTGAGGGGGTGGGTGAGGGGGTGAGGGGGTGGGTGAGGGTGTATGTCCTTCAAGTACAGGGGTTCCCAAACTTTTTTGTCCCACGACCCCATTTTGATATCTGAAAATTCTAGTGACCCCACCCATTGGGTCTTTCGAATGAATGGCGCCGAAGGAGATGGCTGCCGTTTTACGGGCTCTTAACAAATTGTGCTATTGTGTGTGTTTTTTCACGTTATTTGTATCTTATTTTCTACATAATGTTTCTGCCAACGTCTCTTATGTCCGAAAAGAGCTTATGGATATCAGGACAGTGACTACTCACCTCGTACTGGACAAATATTTTTTATTTAACGGGTCGGAAGCGAAGGATTTTCTTCAGACACCCGACAAGGCCCAAATCCCAGTCATTCGCATGAGAAAGAGACGGAGATAACTGGGACGTAGGTAGGGGTGACTTGTAAGGATCCGACAGCGAGTGGGTAATCTGCCTCTACCATCAGTCCTATTAGCCAACGTACAATCATTGGATAACAAAATAGACTAACTACGATCACGGATATCCTACCAATGGGCATTTAAAACTGTAATATCTTATGTTTCACCGAGTCGTGGCTGAACGACGACATGGATAACATAAAGCTGGCGGGATATACGCTGAATCTGCAAGATGGAACAGCTGCCTACGGTAAGACAAGGGGTGGCAGTCTGTGTATATTTGTAAACAACACCTGGTGAACGATAAGCTGTAGACCACACTATTTATCAAGATAATTTTCATCTATATTTTTCTTAGCTGTCTATTTACCACCACAAACCGATGCTGTCACTAAGACCACACTGTATAAGGCCATAAACAAACAGGAAAACGCTCATCCAGAGGTGGTTGTCGTAGTGGCCGGGGATATTAATGCAGGGAAACTTAAATTCGTTTTATCTCATTTCGACCAGCATGTTAAATGTGCAACAAGAGGGAAAAAAAAACTCTAGACCACCTTTACTCCACAAACAGAGACACGTACAAAGCTCTCCCTCGCCCACCATTTGGCAAATCTGACCATAACTCTATCCTCCTGATTCCTGCTTACAAGCAAAAACTAAAGCAGGAAGCACCAGTGACTCAGTCAATAAAGAAGTGGTCAGATGACGCAGATGCTAAGCTACAGGACTGTTTTGCAAGCACAGACTGGAATATGTTCCGGGATTCTTCCGATGGCATTGAGGAGTACACCACATCAGTCACTTGCTTCATCAATAAGTGCATTGATGACGTCGTCCCCACAGTGACCGTACATACATACCCCAACCAGAAGCCATGGATTACAGGCAACATCCGCACTGAGCTAAAGGGTAGAGCTACCGCTTTCAAGGAGCGGGACTCTAACCCGGACGCTTATAAGAAATCCCGCTATGCCCTCTGACGAACCATCAAACAGGCAAAGTATCAATACAGGACTAAGATTGAATCGTACTACACCGGCTCCGAAGCTCGTCGGATGTGGCAGGGCTTGCAAACTATTACAGACTACAAAGGGAAGCACAGCCGCGAGCTGCCCAGTGACACAAGCCTACCAGACGAGCTAAATTACTTCTATGCTCGCTTTGAGGCAAGCAACAATGAAGCATGTATGAGAGCATCAGCTGTTCCGGAAGACTGTGTGATCACGCTCTCCGTAGCCGATGTGACTAAGACATTTGAACAGGTCAACATTCACAAGGCCGCAGGGCCAGACGAATTACCAGGACTTGTACTCCGAGCATGCGCTGACCAACTGGCAAGTGTCTTCACTGCCATTTTCAACTTTTCCCTGACTTAGTCTGTAATACCTACATGTTTCAAGCAGACCACCATAGTCCCTGTGCCCAAGAACACTAAGGTAACCTGCCTAAATGACTACCGACCCGTAGCACTCACGTCTGTAGCCTTGAAGTGCTTTGAAAGGCTGGTCATGGCTCACATCAACACCATTATCCCAGAAACCCTAGACCCACTCTAATTTGCATACCGCCCCAACAGATCCACAGATAATGCAATCCCTATTGCACTCCAAACTGCCCTTTCCCACCTGGACAAAAGGAACACCTACGTGAGAATGCTATTCATTGACTACAGCTCAGCGTTCAACACCATAGTGCCCTCAAAGCTCATCACTAAGCTAAGAACCCTGGGACTATACACCTCCCTCTGCAACTGGATCCTGGACTTCCTGACGGGCCGCCCCCAGGTGGTAAGGGTAGGTAACAACACATCTGCCACGCTGATCCTCAACACAGGGGCCCCTCAGGGGTGCAGGGGAACTTAAATTCGTTTTACCTCATTTCGACCAGCATGTTAAATGTGCAACAAGAGGAAAAAAAACTCTGTTTAGTCCCAGGGTCCTTAGCTTAGTGATGAGCTTTGAGGGCACTATGGTGTTGAACGCTGAGCTGTAGTCCCCTCCTGTACTTCCTGTTCACCCATGACTGCATGGCCACGCACGACTCCAACACCATCATTAAGTTTGCCGACAACGATGAGACAGCCTATAGGGAGGAGGTCAGAGACCTGGCAGTGTGGTGCCAGGATAACAACCTCTCCCTCAACGTGATCAAGACAAAGGACATTATTGTGGACTACGGGAAAAGGAGGACCGAGCACGGCCCAATTCTCATCGACAGGGCTGTAGTGGAGCACGTTAGGAGCTTCAAGTTCCTTGGTGTCCACATCACCAACAAACTAACATGGTCCAAATACACCAAGACAGTCGTGAAGAGGGCACGACTATTCCCCCTCAGGATTTGGCATGGGTCCTCAGATCCTCAAAAAGTTCTACAGCTGCACCATCGAGAGCATTCTGACTGGTTGCATCACTGCCTGGTATGGCAACTGCTCAGCCTCCGACCGCAAGGCACTACAGAGGGTAGTGCGTACGGCCCAGTACATCACTGGGGCCAAGCTTCCTGCCATCCAGGACCTCTATTACAGGCGGTGTCAGAGGAAGGCCCTAAAAATTGTCAAAGACTCCAGCCACCTTAGTCATGGACTGTTCTCTCTGCTACCGCACGGCAAGCGGTACCGGAGCGCCAAGTCTAGGTCCAAAAGGCTTATGAACAGCTTCTACCCCCAAGCCATAAGACTCCTGAACAACTAATCAAGTGGCTACCCGGACTATTTGCATTGTTCCCCCACCCCCTCTTTTACTGTCACGCCCTGGCTCTGGGGACTCTCGTATGTTGAGCCAGGGTGTTATATTCTATGTTTGTATTTCTAGGTTGGTCTGAGTGACTCCCAATCAGAGGCAACGAGTGTCAGCTGGTTGTCTCTGATTGGGAGCCATATTTAACTGTCTGTCTTTCACTTTGTGTTTGTGGTTTCTTGTTCCTTTTGATTTGTGTTTGTGTCGAAGGACTTCACGTTTCGTTTGGTGTTTTGTTCGCTGTGGTGTACAATAAAATAAATATGTACGCATCTCACGCTGCGCCTTGGCCCGCTACTTTTCAAGACGATCGTGACAGAAGAAACCACCACGACTGGGTCAAGCAGCGTGATGAGGAGAAAGGCTGGAATTACGAGAAGTGGAGAGAGAATTGGACGAGAACCATGGAGGCCTGGTCCACGGGGGAGAGACAAGCCCAGAAATTTTTTAGGGGGGGGCTCACGCCGTGGACGACGGGGCAGCAGGAGTACGGGATAGAGTGGTGCAGAAGGTTGGCAGAGAAGGCCGCCAGGTTAAGGGGGCCACCGGTCACAGAGGA